CGACAAACAAGAAAATAAATATATAAATATAATTTCTATGAATATATATACCGATAGTCACCGATCCAGACTGAACATATTATAATATCCAGATTATCAACAAAAATCCTATGAATATACATAAATAGCGTCGGATCCAGACTGCCAGGCGAAGATCCCGATGGTAGGGATCCCAATCCATACTATACAGATCTACAGCCAAGGGAATCCAGATCATAGACAATCGAATAGTATGGAGATAGATAGGCAGATCGGGATCCGAGCTGACCACATTACCGACTGCAGACTAAAGACAAAAAAAAATTATATGGAGATAGATTGCCAGATCGGGATCCAGATTCCAGACTGCACACATTGGGATGTCCGTACCTGGAACGTGGAACCATCGTCTGAGCCCACCCATTCTGCTCCAATCAAGCCCTTGGTGATCAGCAAGCTAGGGTCGGCGAGGCAGCACTGCTTAATCCCAACACCCATACTTGCTACCGCGTGCTGGGCGAAGTCGATTAAGTCGTGCACAGCTCCCTACTACCCAACTGTTAATTAACCCTCAGGCTGGATATTACCGAATGCACGCAGACCTTTCACGCGTCGGCGTCAGCGAACCTTTCCAGCGTCAAGCGTCGAGTTTGGTGTCCTTCCTGCCTGCCTTCAACGACCGATACCGTACATCTTCACATTCAGAATGCCAATCTTGCGCCTGCATCATGCGTGCGGGGCTCCCGTTTTATTTCAGCCAGAAAACAATAGACTCCGTTACTCGAAGCTGAATTCGCATCCAAGCATGGCCCCTGCGCTTTCAAGGATGACACGCATAAATCGGGAAATGGTCCAAATTAAAAAAAAAAAAGAAAAAAAAAAGAAGGAATTCGCATCCCGCACTGCCTGCCCGAATACTCGTGCAAATAGTCACACGACGACCTGTTTTCCACAAAGCTCTGGACGTGGTTGCTGTCAGATCCGTCCTGGGAAGTGGTCCCACTAGCAACGAGGATCGGATAAGATGCCCGAATGTGGACGTAATTGTGGAGAGGTGCAGGAAATCGAGAAGGAACTACTTTTCTGCACCTCTGCATAAAACGCATCCAGATGCAGGAGCTTGATCCTATCGTCTTTGCTAGTGGGACCTCGACCCTGGTGTCCTTGTAATTGCAGTCAGATGCATTTTGAACATTCTGAATTTTGAATCTCTAAAAGTGCTAATGTGAGTAGCCCTTCACACTAGGCCCTAAAAATGGCAAAATCGCAAAATCAGCGGTCACACGTGAAATGTCGTCAGATTCATGGAGCTAGTGTGAGTCGCTGTGCCTCCAATCCGGTCCCCTCCCCCTACGAACAGCGGCAGTCACTGTTCCGCACGAGGGGACCAACGGCCTATCTCTAGGTGGCGGGCGCCAAGCTTGCCCAGGATGGTACACAAGGCGAATGGGGATTGAACCCAGGACCTCCTGAATGCCACTTGCTTGCCATACCAACTGAGCTAGGCCGCTGGATAAAAAGAGAACTCTATATTCTTCTGTCAAATCTTGGGACATTTTTCGAAATGCCCCTCCAAAGTCCATATATTTGTGTCATCCCCGACATGCTCCGCAGACGGCCGACTTACCCCGTCGTGCCCTTGGGCCCTGGGGCCTCTGAAGTTTCCTGCAGGCCCCCATCAGCGAGGGGCGCAACTTTCAGGGACGCCCTTACTGGACCGCTGGTCCCAAACTTGCGTGTTTTTGGCACCGCCACACAAAAAAATGCTGCAATCCATGCGACCCTCCCTGCTGCAATCCACCTTGTTGGAGATGGTTCGTCGCGTGCGACCACCTTCGATTGCTTCGCAAAGGTGAGTGCCACTCCCCATCTTCAATGCCCCTCTGCCTGTCCTCCTCCTGTCGTGTGTGTGTTTGAGGTCGTACCTCTTCTTCTCTCTCTCTCTCTCTCTCTCTCAACCTCCTGATGAGTCACTGAAAGTCCAACGAAAGAGTCTGGGCCAAGGTACGGAGGAGTGCTCATACGGCCGTACGAAGAGCCGTACATAGGGTTGTGACAAACTATTTTCTGCAATCACACGACTTTCCGCGCGAAGTGCCTTCGGGGGTTGGCAACTGGTTGGTCGGGTGTAAGATAGGGGTTGGCTGGACAAGTTGCATGGATACCCTCACTTCTTTCTTTTTTTGCTGTTGGGACCAGGGCCTGGAAAGTCCCGCGACAACGATTGAGTGACCATGCCTTAGTGAGCGCGATAAATAACGGCTGCCATAGCTTCTTTCTTGTTCTGCTGTGGGAGATGGGAATTTTGGCGCGATTAGCGCACGGGAATGTCATTTTCAAATTTGCAATGAATGACGGGCTCTTGAAATTGTTTCCTTAAGCTTTTTCGGAATTTCTTTTAGCAAGTAGGATTTAGACTAGGAATTTAGGTGATCTGAAATCTTGTTGCGCCGCGCCACTTGCTCGTGCACCTTTCACTGCAGCGGGAACTGGGCTCTGGCTGTATCGCGCCCTTAATCCTGCATGTAACTGTAATTTTTGGCGGGCGCGATTGTAACTGTACTCCTTCTTCTTGATTCTCTCGTGTTTTCCCGCCTTCTTCCCCTCTGTCGTGCATACCTCGTCCTCCACTCTAATTGGCCTGAGCGACTGCATGGGCGGATTGATGCGTGGAGTGTGGCTGCGTCCCCCACGCCACGGACTGGCCATGCAGGCATGGGCACTTCCTTCTCTTCCCCTTCTCCTCACTTAGGCATGATCCCGGGTTCATCGAGCAAGCATGCACGCCATAAATTTCGCAAGCGCGATTAGTTCGCTCTATCACAATTTGGAACTTAGCGCGGTCAGTGAGGATCGGCTAACGAGTAAGTAAGAAGATGAGCAGAGGTGAGTCGGGCGCCCCGACGAGCTGGTGCCGGGTAGGCGGGGTTGACGTGCGGGCCACGACGGACTGTGACGCACGGGCGAACCTGGCTTGCGTACTCGGACTAAGCGGGGTGACGACTCGATGTTGGTGCGAGGCGACAGACTGCCCACATCGGAGGTGATGTAGCGGAGAGAGAGAAAGAGAGAGAGAGAGAGAGAGAGAGAGACTTGGCCGATCTTGTTACGACCGTTTTCGATCTTCTTAAGAATCATTTCGTATTTTCTGCTTATGGTATGTGTGGAATGAGCTCGCGCACTTCCCTCCCCCCCCCCTCCCCCCCCTCCCCTCGTTCCTGTTTCATTGCAGATTGGTGAGATCGGGCATGACGATTGACTGCTTGGGTTATGATGATGTAGGCCTTCTCGGTGACGTGGCTTGATGCGCACATCTTTGTCGATCTCTTGTTCATGTTTGATTGATGCATGAGTTCGATCAATGCTTGAGTATGCATATCAGTTCCCGTTCCCTTTTTGACCGAAAGATCTAACGAGCACTTGGCGGTCCTGATTGATGTATGCTCTGGTAGGTAAATGGACGGCTGATTCAAATATGTGATTGCCCGCGGATTGCCTTCCTAGTACCTGTTTCTCGACGCGTGCACAGACTGGTATAACGACGGATCAGACAATCTCCCGCCAATCGATCCGATCCAACTGATCGACCGTGGTCTTGCGCGCCTATATGCAGACTCGATTGAAACGGACATTGCCTACACGCGCGTCTACGAGACCGACACTCGCGTCCATGTCTAAACGCGCCCAATTCCGATAGCATGGATGATAGGACTTCCTTCCACGTCACAGATCGGGAAAGCCTGAGACACCGCCGGTTCATAGAATATTGGGAGTGAAAAAATGTCTGTCGTCTCACACAACCCCGCCCCAACCCTCCAAAATTCCCCTTCTGGACAGGAAACGAACGCGTCTATAAGTGGGACATTGAATGGGCCCTGAGTGTGATCCCCTTCCCCTCTCAGTTCCCCAGCTCACACGTAAGCCACGTCATCGCCGAACCCGGTGTCGTCATCATTGAGACCGACTTCGCTCCCTACTGCCTTGTGCTGCCTTTTCACTGCCTGACAGCAGCCCCGTGACACGCACTCGCCCCCTACTGGCCTTTAACCCCGTGCTCCAAGTGCCAGCAGGACAGCGAGTACCGAGCCGGGGGATTCATTCGACGAACCCAGACTGAGGCCGAACAGCGAGATCACAGCCTACGCCTGAGGCCTGCTTCGTCTGACTCGGAAGCGTGTCACGAGCAATGCTGGCGATTGGTTAGACAATGCGACACACAAGCGTTGCGCCGGTTCACCAAATCCGAGTCCGGCCTTGCCAATGAAGCTCGTGGGGATGAGGAAGATATCCTCCAAGGCATAAAAGTCAGACGCGGTTCGTGCTTACTATCTTGCATAACTGCCCCCAAGGCTTGCAACAGGAGGTTTCAGTTCTGACCTGCAACTCCACCCCCACTATCCTAAAATCCTTGGCACACCCCTTTTTCGCACTTTCGGGCCCCCATCCCACTTCGATCAGGAAGTCGCGCTAGGCGTGAGGTTGGTATCGGAGCCGACACATGGCAAGCTTACAGATTGATAAGTGGATAGGCCCCCTAGTTAAGCGACCTGGCGAACCGAGGGCGACCTAGGCAAAGGAATACACCTAGACGCGACCCAATATTGACCTGGAGTAGGTCGGCGGGTCGGCGGGCCGCCAACATGAACGCCAATCAAGCACAAAACGCTAATGTACAGCTAGGTGAGGTACCTATCCCCACGCCACCAATCCGAGCTCGCGCACCGGTGGCTCCACCTGATTTGTATCTTTTGACCCCGCACATCACCTAGTCGGGGCATGGCTGGCCACATTGCGTGCACAACAATATGACAATGACGAGGCTCGAATCAACATCCCCGCCAGGTTGGGAGGGGATACGCACCACTGGTTTAGCACTTACATTTGGGTGGACCTCCCGACCTTCGAGCGGGATTTCCTAAAACTATTCGACTATATCCGTCCTGAACAGGCCCTTTTTATTATTAAAGATCAGGTTCAGAAACCACTCGAATCCGTTACTGAATATCGTAATAGGTTTTATAGGACGTTCGTCAAAACACAGAGAAGGGAAGAGGTCGGGAGAGATCTATTCATCGACGGGCTCCGCAGCCGGACAATGAGGGCAAAATTGCGAAAGCAGTTCTTCCCGATCAATCATACCTTACAACAGATCATGACCGCGGCGGAAGAGATGGAACGAAAATTTGCCACCAGTTCCTCGAAGGAGAGGATTACCCCAGATAAGGGGATTCCTCAGAATTAGCCAGATCAAAGACTGAGCTAGCTGCACTTCAAAACAAATTTGAAAACATGGGGTTCATCTCTGGCCCGGCCACCTATCTAGAACAAATCGCAACGAGGAAACCAGTACCGGATACAGCTACGTGACTGTCTGTGCCTGTTATGGCCTCCTCTGCTCCTTCGCCGGCCTCCTCGGCAAGGTTGAACGAATCGAATGCCATACTGGAACTAACCCGAACATTAGTTAACTTGATGCAGGAAAGTAAAAAGGAACAACGAGAGCACCATGCTAGGATAAAATCGTTAATGAGGACAATGCGCCCCATTGTCGTCAGAGCTGCACCAGGAACACCGGGAATCGCCCCCGCTCAGGCCATGGGCGGAGCCACGACAATTATGAGCGTTTGTTAAACATGTCACCAGCCGGGCCACATAGCCCGAGACTGTCCGCTCCGACCTTCACAAGCTCGGGCTGGAACCGCCCCCGTGGCCGTTGCGCCCATAGCCAATGGGCCCGGGAGGGTGGGCACGATGATTGAAGAAATGGAAGGAGCAGGGAGTGCGGTAGCCACCACTAAAGAAGCTGCAGAACTTATCCCGCTCGACCAATACGTAGCGTTGGGGTACCCGGGACTAGGAATGATCGGAACCATCCGACCCGCCAATGAACAGCGTGAGATGGCCGAATGGAGGCCTTCTACGAGAGAAATCGAGTCAAGCGGGCCTACTTTCGTCACTGGAGAGATCGACATATTGGACATCGTCCGAGCTCTAGATCATCGAATCCCTTTACCTATCGGGCACCTGCTGTCCATATCGGAGCAAGCCAATGAGCGCATGCTACAACATTGCAAAGCGAATAGGAAACGATTTGCTCCCGCCAAATCGGTGGCTCACAGTCACAAATAAAAAGCCCTGACCCTCGAAGACGGGCCGGATATTCCTACCACTTCGGACCCAATACGGTTAGGAATACTCCGAAAAGATGATCATTTTCTGCGAATAACGGCCATTTCGTCAAAACGAACATATATTATTTTTTGAAGGAAATTGAAATTGAGTTTTTGGGCCGAAATCAGATTTAAATTTTTGGCTCTGGGGGGTCCGACGTTCCTAGAACGCCGGACCCTCTAGATGTATACGACCTCAAGCTGAGACCAGATACATCTAGGGGGTCCGGCGATGCCCCCCGGAGCCAAAAATTTGGATCGAATCTCAGCCCAAAAACTCAATTTCAATTTCATTCAAAAAATATAATATGTCTGTTTTAACAAAATGGTTGTTGAATTAAAGCCATTCCGTGAAAATCGGCGGAATGCGATATCAAGGTATGGGGAATTCCCTACAGCACTATCATCGATTTAGGAGCCGCAGTACTAGCTATTTCATTGAGATTCGAAGAACGAGCAGAAAGAAGTAAGGATCTGATCACCTTGATGGAAGGGGATCATCTTGTCTCAGCGGCCAAAGAGAAAATCAAAGCGGTAGGAAAAATGATGAACATCGCTTTTCGATTAGGAAAAGTTCACGCACTAGGAGATGTTATAGTATTGGATGTGAACACCTATGATGTCCTTCTGGGATTACCAGCCCTCACGACATTACGGACGAATCTGAATTTTGAGAAGTGATCCGTTATCCTTCCGAACACGGGCGGAAAGTCATACGTTGCTCCGATGCGGCTGACTCTGCAGACCGCACCACCCTTGACTTAGAAACCCTCACCTAGAAGCAGAGGACCCCTCCGGGTGATCACCTGGAAAGAACCAATCCACAAATCGGATTAAAAAAAAAAGGAATTGAAACTACCGAGTGACTCAGACAGCGGAGATGAAACTGACCCTGTGATACACGATATGGCTCAACAGTTGATTCGTTATCCCGTCCGACAGAAGACCACAAAAATGTTCGTTCTTACAAAAAGAAATCTGCAGCGAACACGCTCGTTAATCTTAGGGGAACCACTCGTACAAATATCCCGGATGCTTGACTCGTCGGAACCCCCTCGGACCGTATATGAGGCCACTACCCCGCTTCTCTCGAGATATAAAGACAAGGGAACATTTTGTGACATCACAGGGCTACCTCGTTCCTTGCTGTCCTCCGGAAAAGAGGTACGATTACTACGACAGGGGGCCGAGGGTGAAGCTTTGGAACCCCCTAGACACGACGACTCTACACCCTATGAGCTCATAATTAAAATCGCCGAGACATCAGTATGCTGGCAAGATATCAGCGATGGCATGACCCCGGAAGAACACGTGGCCATCCGAGAGGAAGGCGCTGAGATGGTCGCCACCGTGTTTTCCTGGCAGTCAGACAACTCCTTCATCCCTGCTCCCCCGACGAAGAACAGTCCCAGAGTAGGCATGAAGCACGTGACGGTTACCATACATGGACAACCCTACGAGCTATATGTGCCCCAGTTTGTCCCCAATGAAACTTATCAATTGATTGCGGATATTCTGACCGAATACCAAGGGGCGATCACCGTAACAGATACGGATATCGGACTGTCCTTAATCATTAACATGAAATATAGACCAGAACACACCCGCTGATCCACTGTAAACCATACCGATATTCTCTCGCGGAGCGAAAAGTGGCACTACAAAAAATCAGAGAATTTGAGGCTAACGAATGGATCGAACCGGCAACCGGATCCTGGTCGTTTCCCGTGGTCTTAGTCCCAAAGAAAAATGGGTCGGTTCGCATTTGCATTGATTACAGGAAGCTGAATGATATCACGATTAAAGTTGTGTACCCTCTTGGATGCGATTGGGTGTGCTAAGTACTTCAGTAAGTTTGATATTCGTCATGGATTTCATCATATTTTGGTCAAAGAGGAGGATCGGTCGAAGACGGTCTTTATGTTATTCGAGGGCACTGGGCAGTGGGTCCGTTGCCCAATGGCAATTTGCAATGTGGCAACTACTTTTCAAAGAGCGATGAACGTCATATTTCAAAATTTCGTCAACAAGACCAGGCTAACTCAGGGCATGGTTAATTTATGCGTCATTGTTTACATGGACGACATTCTGGTCTATTCGGAATCATTTCACGGGTATGCACAACATGTCCAATGGACACTTGGGGCGTTGCAGGATGCTGGCTTTAAGATTGCGTTGGAGAAAAGTGAGTTTTTCCTTTCAGAAATCTCGTTCCTGGGTTACGTGGTGACCCAGGGAGACGAACGACCGGATTCGTGAAAGGTCGCGGCCGTTCGGGATGCCCACACACCTACGACGTTGACACAAGTCCGGGCCTTTTTGGGATGGCCTCGTACTATCGTCGATTTATCAAGCGTTTTGCAGCAATCGCCCGACCTCTAACGAATCTTATACGGAAGGACCAACTGCTGAGTTGGGACGCCAAGTTTGAACGGGTCTTTGCCACCTTAAAGGAGGCTTTGGCCACGACACCTATTTTGATTCGGCCTGACCCGGGGAAGCAATTCATACTCATTACGTACTGGCAGCCCGAAGCAATCTCCGCTATTTTGGCTCAGAAGGGGAAAGACGGCCGCAAACACGTCATCGAATACGCTTCACGAACAGTGCCAGACGAGAGAAGAAACGATTCGGCCCCTCAAGGAGAGTGCTACGCGGTTGTCTGGGGGATTCAACACTTCCATTCGTATTTGTACGGACAGATGTTCCTCCTCGTCACGGACCATGACCCCCTGCTGGCTCTCAAAAGGCTTACCAACTACACGGGTATGATCGGACGATGGGCTGTGTGACTGCAAGAATATGATTTTGATATCGTCCACCGGAAGACAGAGAAGCACGGTAACGCTGACGGACTGATATGATTGTACCGGCCGAGCAAGCTGGCAAAGGGTGAAGAGATCACACCGTGGAAAGAACCGGTACCAACCGGCGAGCCCTGACCGCCAACCGGCGAGCCCTCATACGGCGAGGTGACCATCCTTCCTCGGACCTCCAAGAAGTGACCGGCAGACACGATGGTGATGGAGCATGGAGGTAATCCCGAAGGTCATCTTTCTCCCCTCTCGTCTCCCTCTTTTTTTTCCCTGCCTCACAAATTTTGCTACTTTTGCGAAGCGATCTTGAGGGTCTACTCGGTCCCTATGCGTCCTAGCGGGGAGGGGTATGTCGAGTGGGTAGACTGTCAGCGATGTGTCTCCCGAGCTCATGGTTCCTGCATCCAATATAGAAATGCGGGTAAATCCTGGTTATGTCCCCTGTGCCGCTCTGATAAAATTCCGACAGAAACTCGATTTCTCGAAGCCACGTCGAAAGGGTTGGAAAAGACCCGACGATTTAGAAGGGTCGAAGGTTGGACAGATGTCGTCTTGACAGCTATGGTGGTTGGGAACTCCCTCCGAGACTTCACTAAGGAGGACCGGAGGAGGGCCAATAAGAGGGCACGAGACTACCGATGGAATGAGGGACGGTTAGAAAAGCGGAAGACGGATGGTAGTGGGATTTGGATGTTTGTTCCACACCGTTCGTGAGATATGACTCGGTTAAGTCGGCCCACGAGGAAACGGCGGCCCACTTCGCCGTCCGAATCACGGAAGCGGCAATCGATAAAAATGAATGGTATTGGTCCAATATTCACGACGATGTTAAATTCATCGTCCGAAACTGTCTCGTATGTGTCGCCGACAAAACGCCGATTCAACCGCCTAAATCGATAGTGCCCACTGTAGTTGAACGACCGTTCCAAAGGGTGAGCATGGATACCACAGATATTGTCGTGCCCCTTGGACCAAATAAATGTGAATATTCACTTCTTTTGGTATTTCTGGACCGCTTTTCGAAATGGATAGAGGCGTATCCGTGTAAGATGCGACAAGCGGCAGAAATCGCGCGGTATGTCAACCGTTTTCTCGAAATGCCTCGGGATACCGAGGAAATCCTAACTGACAACGGGGCGGAATTCCGAGGGGAAGTCTTGAGGAGTCTGGTCCTACACGGTGTCTCGATTCGCAATACTGCTCCCCATATGTCGCAATCGAATGGACTAGTAGAAAATGCCAACCGGGTAATCAAGACAGCGTTACAGCGTAATATCGCGATCAAAGATATAAGGCCTTGGCCCGATATTATCGACCATATCCTAGCTATTCATCGAGGGATACCCCATGAGTCCATTGGCCTGTCCCCTTTCCAACTACGGACCAATAGTGTGGCCTGTGTAGCCCTACCGAGCCTAAATGATGAAATGATCCTTCCGCGACGGACCACTAGAGCAACGGTCAAAGACAAGGCCCAACGCCACCTGGAATTAATGGAAAAGGCCCTTTCCTTGGCTAGCCCGAAAACGACAAAGAATGACTGAAATGGCCCACGGACAACAGGTCCGGAGCTACCAGGCCCGAAATGGGAACGATGGACCACGGCCCCAGTATAAGTTAGGGGACATAGTGCAAGTAAGGAAATGTGCTCGCCAGGGTAAGCTACCGCCATGATTCTTCGGGCGATTTCACGTGGTTGAGCTCGGTTCTAGCGGAGTAAACACTGTGCGCCTCGTACCGGAGTTGTCGGGAAGTCGATCGGCTCGTCCAATCATTCGACACGTGTCCTACCTTCGCCCTCTCCCATCTTCCCCTTCTCTTCCATCTTCCAAGTCGTCCCTCTACAGCGAGGAGGAAGATCACCTCAACTACCTTGATCCTTCTTCTTCTCAACCCTCATCCTCCTCGCCAAAGCCATGAGTTTTTCCATCGAGCAGGTCATCAGCGAGCGGTTAATGGCACCCAGGGGAGCCTTCTCTGCAATCCGGCAAGTACAACGTCCTCGATTGAGTCCAGATCTTCTCCAATTCGCGGCCTTCTTCAGTACAATGGCCATTCACGAGGCGACGGAGTTTCGATTCGTGCAATCCGAGGCAGCGCGGGTATTGACCGAGGTGTCGACCTTCTTACGCCTGTCCCCACCCGACGAGAGCCACGTGTCGGTCATTGTCGTCTTTACAGGCCACATCACGACACTGTATCCAGCAAGGCGTACCTCGATCCTCCGACAAGTGCGAGACTGGGCAGCACGCATCACGACTGAGTGGATACGATTACTGGTTCGGCCGCGCGATCGCATCATAACGGCCAACGACATCGATCTCCAGCTTCGGGTTTCTTCCACCGCGCCGGAGGTCCTCTTCCCGGAGCTTCGTCCTTTCGATCAGCCTCGATGAACCACCACCGCCTCTCTACCTTCAGTCTTCCCTCCGATACTCCTGCGTTTTGGCAGTCTGCTGTGGACCCCGCTTTATCGTTCAGAATCAGGCAGTTGGACGTGCCGATTCTGGACGCGGCCAAGTGGGCACAGTGGTGGCACTCGTATGTGGCACTTAGCTTTTGCCTCCTCGAAGTCGTATTCCACTGGGTGAAGCCGGCTGACAAGCGAGGAGGACGAGATCCCCGACGACGAGGAAAAATTGTTGGTCGTCCAAGCTTGGGTGATGGACACAGAGGGCGAGCTTTTGGGAATCTTGTTTGGAGAAGTGCGGGACAACCACCTGTATTTGATCACGGACGAGCTGTTGGTATTCCTGGCCCAATTGCTGGACGATCTGGTTGTGGAGATCCTCTCGCGCTGCGACGACAGACCGGGGACGGCCACACTCACTCAGACCTTGGCCCCCCATCTCCTATGGTCTACGTGCACGGAGCTTGACGAGGATCATTGTTATTATCCCTTCGAAGGCGCTTACCTGGTCATCGACGTCACTGATCTCTCCTTCTGGGATCCTCTCATTCGGCGAGTGAACGTATGAGAAACCAACGAGAAAGCCGAAGAGGAGGAAGAAGAAGCAGCAGAGGAAGAGATCGAGGAGGGTGACCATCTTCAGTATACGGAAGGAGAGGAGACGCCTGAAGAGGAAGAATCAGAGGCTAAATCGGACGATCTCGATTATCGAGAATCGGAGGATGCCGAGTCGGAAGAAGCTAGCTCGGACCGGGAGGAGTCAGAGGAAGAGGAGGGTGGATCGGGTGAGTCGAGTGGCCCTGACGAACTGAGCAGGGAAGAGAGAAAGGCCGTGGCGCAGAGGAAACGAGCAACAGCAGAAGGCAAGCGGCCGATCGAAGAGGCAGGAGGGCCACCACCACAACTGCTGCAGGGCGATCCGACTCTCAATCCGAAAACCGCCACAAGAAGAGGCCGAGAGAAATGGGGGCGCCACGGCAGAGGGATCGGGAAGGCGGTGCCTCCGAAGAAGTGAATCCCCGGCCCAGTCCTCTCCCCGGCCCAGCCTTCGCCTACGTCGAGATGCGGGCGCTTGGGGTTTGTCCCCGATCATTATCCCGTCGTCCCCGTGACTGCCTCACCCTTCAACAGCTCATAGGTCGACCCCCATTCCCCGACAGATGGCATCCCTTCATGCCTGCTCTCTTCCACCATCTCTACTCTACCCGCCTCCTGGTTACTGTCTTCCCGCATGCTACCACTCGCGCGCTCGTCACTTCTTTCCCCCTCCACGTCCTTCTCTTTAGCATGGATTGGCAGGAATTCAATAATATAGAGTTATATTGTATCATCACGGGCACGATCCCGCCGTGCGAAGAGTATGACGATTTTCGCGCTGCTTTCCATCGCACCTTTTGCACGCTCTATCCCGATTACCTCGCCTCCCTCCCCCACCAACGTAGACACCCGCATTTTCCCCGTATCCACCTCACGATTCATTATACCCAACTCCCCACTGACGATCGAGAGATCCGTTGCTTCATGCCTCCCCTTCCCCAAGTCCATCCGCCACCTCCTCCGCCCGTAATCAGACTTCCTTTCTCGGGTAACGTTTAGAATGAAGCGCACGAATGCCGCTTTGGATGACTTCCATACTCGGATCCTACGGTAAGTGGCACGTGCAAGCTCCGCGTCGATCATCGGATCATAGATCGACGCCTGATGAGAGAGCAAGCAGGAGCTTGCTCAAGATTGGAACCCCTGGGGCGTCACATATGTAACGAACTATTTTCTGCAATCACACGACTTTCTGCGCGAAGCGGCTTCGGGGGTTGGAAACTGGTCAGTCGGGTGGAAGATAGGGGTTGGCTGAACAAGTTGCATGGATACCTTCGCTTCTTTCTTTATTTGCTGTTGGGACAAGGGTCGGGAAAGTCCCGCGACGATGATTGAGTGACTGCGCCTTAGTGAGCGCGATAAATAACGGTTGCCATAACTTATTTCTTGTTCTGTTGTGGTAGATGGGAATTTTGGCACAATTAGCGCGCGGGAATATCATTTTCGAATTTGCAACGGATGACGGGCTCTTCAAATTATTTCCTTAAGTTTTTTCATAATTTCTTTTTGCAAGTAAAATTTAGACTAGGAATTTAGGTGCTCTGAAATCTTCTTGCGTTGTCGGTGCGAATACCCTTACAAGGGTATCCACCCTAGTTTTTGCAGGTGATAAAAGATAGATTAGTTTAAAGTTAGAGTATACCGCGTGAGGCGCGGCTGCGTCTGTGGTTTACGTTGATTGAATGGTTGACTAGAGCAGGGAGTGTGTGGGCGCGCAAGTTTGTGGCGCGCGTGATCTTTTTAATTGTTGATGGTTGAAGAGTCGGCGTGATCCTCGACTATATTTTGTTTATTTTCTGACAAAACTAGGATTAAAAAGATTATGTCTCGTTGATCGATGTGCTTGCCTCCGACTTGTGCGTACGTGCGGAGGACGACGTCGATAACAATGTCATCTTGAATACGGTTCGGTAGGTCTGCGCATCGTGTAGGTACCGTTTTATTTAAATATCCACCAAAGTAAGACCCAGAATTGGGCCTAGCCCTATTGGTTACGATATCGGACCATTATGTGGGAGATTCAGGGATCGAGACCAAGCGGCGACGGCGTGGGAGCACCGGAGCGGCGCAAAGTCACCAATAGGTTGAGGGTCCGACGAGGCTATCCCCTTTGGTTTTGCCACCAATGGAGTTGAAGCGGTGCCAGTAGGTTTCCTCTCTAACACTTATTTTATTTTTTTTTATCGTCGTTGCTATTTATTTCTATGCCTCGGTGTTGTTTGAATCAAGACGTAACGTCGGATTTAGGGACCGTCACGAAGGTCGAGAACCTTCAGCGCACACCCCCTAAGTTTGACTTGTGAGTTCCTGTGTATTCGGGATGCTGGCAAAATTCCTCGACCTAAGACCGTCTTTAAACACGGACCGAGGAGTTCAGTATGCATGTGAGCAAGCGGGGGCAATGTGTGCACGACCAGCGGCCACTTAGCCGTGAGCCAAAATAATCAAGAGTGGCGGAAGCCTTTGCAGAGAACCAGCCACCAACCGCTGGCACTGTGGGGAGGCGCTGCTGTGACTGCTCACATGCAAAACCCTTTCTCGCAATTTGGCTTCAAAGTTCTCACTTGAATATTTGCTATTACCACCTGCACCGGGGCCCGCCTCACCTGGTTCATGTTTCAGGACGCGGGGCAGGCCCACGCCCTCCCACTCTTTGAAGAGTTAACGACAGCCAAAGCATAGGTCGTACTCCTCAGTGGGTTTCTACTTCCGGGCGCTTGTTGTCTGTATCAACACCCTTTTTGGGTTCGGTTTAACGAGCAGAAGTAGGCGCGTACCCGCTGAAATGCAGAGTGCGCATCGGATTTGGATATAGAGGCAGGGGACTGCTTGAATGGTCCAGTCATCGGCCCCCTATGAGCTTATCTGGATGATGGCTGGAGCTGTTGGGCAGTTTTACCAGGCCTATGTGAGACCTGTCGCTACTGGGTGCTGCACAGACCGAGGTATCACGGCCGTAGAAGAACAGCGGAAGACAAGTCTGCATTCGGGCGTGAATCCGTGCCACAAACGCTCGAAGTAGAAGGGGGTGGGATCGCGTATGTAGAGGCGTGAGCTCATAGCTCGTGCATCCCTCATCAGAATCGGTCGAGGGAAATTACCTTTCTAACATTCTTAGACCGGGCGAGCTTCGTGGGAGTGTTACTTTTAGCAATAGATTAGTAGGATAAGAGCTAATAGAAAAATAAGGTGCGAGGAGGAAGCGATGGTGAAAACGGATATGGAGGGAAACGGGAAAACATAAAACTCACTCGATTCTTGATGAAATCGGGCGGGAGGAAGTGTGTTTTGGAGGTTTTGAGGGATGGCGAGTATAGCAACGACGTCAGATTCTGCTATCGAATCTCTGTCATGGAGCTATGATGGAGGGAGGTTGCACGGTATGAAGGATAATGAGGGATATGGAGAGACTGAAAATCTTTTGTTATGCCCGATACTCGATAAAAACGAGCAAGAGAAAGTGTGATCTCAAGGTTTTAGGAGTGGGAAGCACGTTGGTGGAGGCGAATTCTGAATTGAAGCGACGAATTCGGCGGTACAAGGGATAACGACTGCGTGGGAAGTGGGACAGTAATCAATGTATCTTCCCGTGTTTCAACGAAAGATACATTCTCATTCCCTTTATTTGCAAAATTGCTAAGAATCGGGGTAAAATCCTCGACCGTGATCGTCATTGCCAAGGTTAGGCTTTGTGTTGATCATCGTTATACTGACAGTCACGTCGGTATTGAAGTGTTCATTTTCATGTTTGTTCTAGTCGTGGCTGTTTGAGGGATCGTCTCCACTTTTCTTCCTTATGTCGTGGTCGTTCATCTCGTTCGAAGATTCCATTCGAATTGGTGGGTCTGCTGCTTGCCGTAGAGACTATGCTTGCTGCTCGCCCATGATTCTCCCTTCATGCCCTTCGTGGCTAATCTTACGTGATACCTCCTCTTGGCGGTACCAACGAACTCAATGCAGTTGTCAACAAAGTGCATCTATGCGCTAAAAGTAAGAACGAACGACAGCGGGAAAGACTGGAGAGCTCGACTTGAAGGCCAAGTAATATGGGACGGACCGAAGGTTGAGCTACGGCGAAGTGCCTGAGGGGCATGGCAGTGCATCAGCTCGTGCTTCACTAGAAGACTCCTACCGACTTTTGCTCAGCCTTTGCTCTGAGTAGCGAGGAGCGAGGTTGCACGGCTGCGGGCTTGCACGCTGGCCGGTTCGCTATGCGCAGCCGAACGAACTAGCGAGGAGCCAACTGTTACAGTAGGACTTGCAGACTTACCTGTCGTCTGAGTCGAAGCAGCGATAAATTGATTTGCACGCCGCTCAGCCAATTGTTGGACCGAAAGAGCAAGGAGAAGGACATGAGATTGCTTATTTCACTCGCTGACCGGTACGCTGCTTGGTGCTCATCCCATTCGGCGAAGAAGCCTGAGTCCAGTCGCGAGACGACATGCCGCTGGTTGACTAGAGTGCCATCCATCTTACTAGTCTGAACGCGCAAAGGGGGTCGGTCGCAAGGAACTACAGACACACCTATGACCAGTGGAGCGGCAGTAGACCGACTGGGAGGTGCAGACTTGACCGAAGATCGGTGTGCCCTTCATGCTACCGGACGGTATAGTTGGAAGTGAGCCACGAGCTTGCAGACTTACTTATAGCCAGCGCAACTCGGACCACAAAGTTTTGGAAGGACTGAGCTCGAGGAAGCGAGGTCTTTGCTTCGAGTAGCGGGTTGCCGGAAGGGGTCTGCAATTGGGAGTTGACTTCAATTTGGCTGAGCCGCTGCGCTATTGCGGGGCTCTTAGGAGATATAAGATAACAAGGCCCTTTCCTGAGAGTTGAGTCAGTCCCCTTCTCGTATCTCGAGAGTCTGAGACCTCTACTTCTACCCTCCTTACTCTAAGTCTGGTCTATTGGTTCTTAGAGGAAGGCGGCAGGTGGGATCGCAACCCGTAGGACTGCGACAAGACTCTGTGGGGAGTCCACTCACCGATTGCGGGAGCTCTGCCGGAACCTAGGCGTGGTTCTGGAGGCAGGGAACCATCATGTATATCTTTATCTGTTTGTACGACCCCACTATACACCTATTTGACTATCTACTTTTAGTTTGACTGACTGTATGCATGTGTTCCTCTATGATTTTGCTTTCTTTCAGGGTTTAATCAGACTAAATGAAATAAATGCGTGTGTGAAGTTTAGTTTTTCTTTGTTTTGACTAAAAGCAGTCTAAGGGATGAACTGGGGGAAGGTGGGAGGAAGACAGTTTGCATGCGTTTGACCAGGTCAACCAAGGACTGAATATTATTTCTAAGCTGAATAGCCCAGGGCTATGTTTATTTAATTGTTTTCTGAAGGATCAGGCATTGTTTCTAAGTTGAATGACCTTGTTGCTGCGTTTATTTCTGAGGGTTTGTCTTACTGATCTTTGACACCAAGCATTGTTTCTAAGTGAATGGCTTGGTTTGTCTGTTTCTTTTGGGGTTTCTGACTGAAGTTGGACTAAAAAATCCAACTT